CAACCTTTACAACTTTAAGACTTGTGGACTTCAACTCCCAGAATTCCCCAGCCGGCCACAGCAACAGGAAGTCTAAAGCAGGGGTCTCCGTGGCAACTTTAAGATTTGTGGACTTCAACTCCCAGAATTCCTCAGCCAGCGACAGCAACAGGAAGTCTAAAGCAGGGGTCTCCAACCTTTACAACTTTAAGACTTGTGGACTTCAACTCCCAGAATTCCCCAGCCGGCCACAGCAACAGGAAGTCTAAAGCAGGGGTCTCCGTGGCAACTTTAAGATTTGTGGACTTCAACTCCCAGAATTCCTCAGCCGGCCACAGCAACAGGAAGTCTAAAGCAGGGCTCTCCAACCTTTACAACTTTAAGACTTGTGGACTTCAACTCCCAGAATTCCCCAGCCGGCCACAGCAACAGGAAGTCTAAAGCAGGGATCTCCAACCTTGGCAACTTTAAGACTTGTGGACTTCAACTCCCAGAATTCCAGCTGGCTGAGGAATTCTGGGAGTTGAAGTCCACAAGTCTTAAAGTCGCCAAGGTTGGAGACCCCCCAGACTAGAAGACCTCCAAGGTCCCTTCCGACTCTATGGTTCTTTTTCATGCCTATGATTCTGTCTTCTGTGTAGCCTTCTCCGTGACGTTTCCTCACATTTCTTCCAGAACTTCACGCCTCTGAGTACCTACAAGTGGTCGATTCCACCTGGCTGGTGCTTAACGTCTCGTCTAACGGCAGCGCCTCCCTCAGCCAGCCTATAGGAGTCACCAAGATTGCCAAATCCGTCATCGCACCCCTGGCCGAACATAACGTCTCCGTCTTAATGCTGTCCACCTATCAGACTGATTTTATTTTGGTGAGCATTGGGGGGCAGCCGGTTCCAGAGCCGGGAAGGGGGGGGTGTTTCAAAAGTAAATGGGTGGTGGTGGTGTGACTGACACTGAGAGGGAGAAGCTAGCCAACCAGCATTAAGTCAGGATTTCGGAATAACAGAGTTGGGTGGGACCTTGGAGGTATTCTAGTCCAACCCAAGCGTGGGATTCAGCCGGTTCAGGCGAACTGGATGCTAATTTTTCATCCGGTTCGTCAAACTGGTACTTGCAACCACTGGCTGGCCATGCCCACCCCTCCCCTCCCCTCCCAGGAGTCTCCACGCAGCCCGTTAATCATGCCAGGTTCTGGAGCCCAGGGGAGGCCGTTTTCACCCTCCCGGAGGCTCAAGAAAAACTTCCGGAACCTGGGGAGGGTGAAAACGTTCCCCCCACCGTGAGGAGGTGGAGTATGCCACGCCCTCCCATGGCCACGCCCACCCAGCAAACTGGGCAGAGAAACGGTTGCTAAAATTTCCCCTTTTTAAAAAAAACAACAACAACTTTTTTATTTTGTTTATGCAAACTTCACATCTTTGCAACACACGACCCTCCTTTTACATATCTGTTGTGATTCTTTTTATCTGTACATACAGGTCTTGTATAGATATAACTTTATACATATGTGTGCATTTGTATTATTTCATACATCTGTTTTCTTCATTCTATATATAACATTCGATATATTCCATGTATAACAACCTTTATTACATTTGAATTGTTTTGCAAATACAAAAGAGATCGTAGCAAATAAATAATAGGAAACGGTTGTTAACATTTTCCCATCCCACTCCCTGGTCCAACCCCCTGCTCAAGCGGGAGAAATGGAAGCCGTTCAAAATGGAAACCGCGATGATGCTTGTTAGGTAAGCTCCCCGTTGTGAGAGCGAGTGCGTTCAGCGAAGCGGTGTGAGAGTCGTGTTGGAGAACACACAAACCAGCATACAGAGACACTGCAGTTTAAATAGG